GCTGTGTGTCCAGAGTCTGACCAATGGGGAGGGACACACCTCCCTCTCCATGGAGACCCAAGGAGTAACTAAGACACAGTCAGTCACTACCCCAGACCTCTGAGAACGTCGGTCTTCTCAACATTGGGGTAGACAGAGGTTTTGTAGATAGGACACAGAAAGCACTAACCATGTAAGATAAAATAGCAAAGTGGGCTTTATTAAAATGATAACCTTCAACTCCACTCTTCAAAAGAAAGGCAATGCCCTGGCTGGTTTGGCTCAGTGGCTAGAGCATCGGCCTGCGAACTGAAGGGTTCCAGGTCCGATTCCATTCAAGGGCACATGCTCAGATTTCAGGCTCAATTCCCAGTAGGCGGTGTGCAGGAGGCAGCTGATCAATGATGATTCCCTCTCATCATTGATGTTTCTCTCTCTCTCTCCCCTTCAATCTGAAATCAATAAAAAAATATATATATATATTTTTAAAGAAAGACAAACCACCAATGGGAGAAATATTCTGTGTGTGTGTGTGTGTGTGTGTATACATATAGGTATATGTGTATATATCTATTTATATAGTTTCTAGAGGCCCACAGGTGGGCTCTGACTGGCCCTGCCCCCAATTGGGGTGGGGAAGCTGATTGGAGGCACGACTGGCCAAGGGGAGGGGCTGAGGGCGGTTGGTTGGCCTGGCCCCTGGTCGAACTCCGGTTGAACTCCCCGATCAAACTCTTGGTCGAGGGGACAATTTGCATATTAGCCTTTTATTATATAGGAAGGTGTGTGTATACGTGTCATATATGTATACATACATGTGTGTATACATATATTATGTATGTACACACATATATGACAAAGAATAGTATATAAAGAACTCCTACAGCTCACTATTAAGAATTTTAAAAAACCAATAAAAATTGCCAAAGACTTACATAAACCTGGAAAACAGATGGCAATGCAACATGAAAAGATGTTCAGCCTCACTGGCCACCAGGAGAAGGCGAGCTCCTGGGAAGACAGCACTACAGAGCTGCTAGGATGGCGGAGACCGGACCGCCCGGTGCAGCCACCCTGGTGACAGTGTGGCAGCTTTGTTCGAAGTCAGTGGCTGTCATTCCTCACGATGCAGCCATGTTCCACCTGTTACCACAGGAAATGAAACAGGGCCACACAAAGACTCACACAAAAAGGGTCACAGCAGCTCATTTGCAAAAGCCCCGAACTGACAACCACCACAACAGCCATCGGCAGGTGGTAGCTAACTAAGCCTGTCCACACTGTGGAACGTGACTCAGCAGTGAGAACGACTCAGCCAACGATATGTGCAACACCTGGGCGAGTCTCCGCCCCATGACGCCGATGAAAGATGCCAGACACACATAGTGACCGTTCGTAGAAAATTCTAGAAAATGCAAACTAAACCACAGTGACAGAGAGCAGGCTAGCAGCTGCCTGGTGCCAGGAGAGCGGGAAGGGTCCTTCGCAGAGGCCCAGCTTTTGGGGTGACAAGACGTCCTGAGTGCTGGCTGTGGTGGTGGTCACAGAGGCCTGCAGGTTGTCCAACCTCACTGAACTATTCCCTTAGGACATACAGTGCACTTTGCTGTATGCCAACGACCCCTCCGCAGGCTGGTTTGTTCTGGGGTCTGGTTTCTGGGGGGCTCACATCCCCTGTCCCTCACAGCCTTCTGTCCTCAGTCCAACGGGCCCTGGGAACCCTAGCCCTCACTTAGCCCCTCGCTTGCTGGAAACAGACGTAGTCTGTGAAGAAGAAACACGCTTCTCCTCAGATTTAACAAGCACAACAGAACCCCAAAGCCAGCCCGCCGGGCAGCCGCTTGGCCTGGGGTTCGGCCCACACAGCTCTCAGTGCAAAGGGGAACAGAGCACGCTGGCCAGCCGGGCTGCCTGAACGCCAAAATCCTTTCTGTTTCTCACAGAGATCACCTTCAGAGGAGTGAAACAGTGATCGTGGGAGAGGAGTGAGTCACCCTGAGACCCCAGAACTTCCCCTGAGGAGGGGATTGAACAGGCTCACTTCCCCCTCCTTTCCTTCCCTCCCTCCCTCCTTCCCTCCCTCCCCCTCCCCCTCCACTGCCCACCCAGCTACACAACCCTGAGCCCCGATCTCAGGCCCCTCGGCTTCCTGTCCTCTTCTCTCAGCCTTGGCAATGGCCCCCAGCCCAACCTTGGAAACCTCAGGGGGCCCCTCAAGAACGCTCCGCCCTGGGTCCGCTCTCTGAGACCCTCCGCCAAGATGGAAGGCTAATGCCACGGGACAGCGTGTGCACCCTGCCCAGACCACAGACACGCCCGGTATCATTCTGGAAGGAAACCCGATAGGCCAACACTTTTGCTTCCACCCCAAACAAGCCAGTTCCTCTTCACTCAGATTCGGTTCCTGCCTCTGGGTGAACTGAGCCTCATCTCCGCCTGGAACTCCCCTCCGGCCCCTCTCCCCGCTCGTCCCGTCCCCCCCTCCCCGCCCCCGCCCCTGCCCCCAGAAGCGGGTCTCAGTCTATAGCTACCACATCTCTGGACGTCCAGAAGGCCTTCCTCCTGAAGGCAGGGTGCACACCAGCACACATGACCCATGACCCCGAAGCGAAAGTGCCAACACATGCTCCCCTGTGTGTCGGGCCCACTGGGCTCGGCTCCACCTGCACCAGCCAGGACTCAGGCAGCCACTTGGTCTGCAGCGGTCAGTACCCCAGGCCACCCCCCCGCCCTCAACAGAGGCATCAAGAGGAAGAAAAGCTCCCGCCACGTGTGCTCATGTGCAGAGGGAGGTGCCAGCGCATGCTCAGCCTTGCCACGCCCCGACAGGAACAGACACATCCACAGCGTCAACAGCTTGTGAAATGCCCGGCAGGTGCGGCCTCCACAGCAGAGATGTTGGCAGAGCGAGACGCAGGTGGTGGGGCCCAGAGTGGGGGGGGCCCGCCGAGTCCCATGGCCACACTGAATCCCAGTCACGTTGGCCCCTCGTCATCTGCAGGAGAGGACTAATAAGCCTGGGATGGCATGCCCATGTCCCACAAGGTCCCTGCAAGGCTCCCTGAGCAGGGTATAAATTTCCACCTGAGAATTAATTCTAAGCAGTGGTATTTATTAGTAATGATGATGATAACACCCATCGTGACACACTGTGAGCCCCAGAAGAACCGAGCAGGTGAACACGGAGTCCCTCAGCCCCCAGCTATGCGCCCAACGGAGCTCGGTGCAGGGTGGGGGATGTGATCCGATGGGCCCCACAGGAGCGGGCCATCTACTTCCGGAGTCAAGTTACACATCAAGTTCTTCCTCGTTTACAAGACTCTGCATCGCAACCGGTAAGTAGATTTCCCTTTATTCTTCCCAGAAAGCAGAGCCTGGGCCCTGCTCCCCAGGCCGTGGTCACCAAGAGGCCGAGGGTGGTGTGGGCCACACAGGAGCGAGGCCCAGCACTGGCGTCTGCCGGGGGTCAGTGAGCGTTCCTGGGTGTGCATGGTCTGCTTGGACTTCCTGTTAGAAGCCCACCCTACAGTCCCTCAAGGTTAAGGTGACCAGACGTCCCGCCAAGCGGGCAACAGCTCAGATATATGACGTTGTAACCATTGTCAATCAAGTAGCCCTGACTGACAACAACCCTCCTCATTGGTTGGGCCTCCTCCCCAAAACTGTGAGATCCCACCGGCCTCTCAGACCCATTGGCTGCATTTAGGCAACATCAGGCCTGTCATGCCACACATACAGGCTTGGGAACATGTTCCGAGTTCTCACAGATTCCCTGTGCATCTGCCTCCTACAGGTGCCTCTCCATGCTCTCGCTCACTCAGCCCTCACCCCGGAGCCCGGCTCTCAGGAGGAAGCTGCTGTGCATCCCTGAGCCTCTGCCCCAAAAGGAGCTTCTTTTCATTGTAGTAAAACACACATGATACAAAATTGACCATCTCAACCGTTTTTTAAGTGCACAGGTCCGTGGCATGAAGTACACGCACACTGTTGTGCAACTATGACCACCATCCATCTCCAGGACTTTCCATCCTCCCAAAAAGAAACTCTGCCACTCTCCTTTCTTCTCTAGGAGTGACTGCTCTAGGGCCTCAGGCAAGCGGAGCCACACAGCATTTGTCCTTTTGTGCCTGACTTGTGTCCTGAGCACGATGCCCTCAAGGTCTCTCCATGCAATATGTCAGAATCTCCTTTTTAAGGCTGAATACCACCCATTGTGTGCATGGACCACATTTGCTAATCTAGTCATCCTCAGATGGACTCGGGGGCGAGTCCACCCCTGGCTGTTGTGACCAATGCTGCCATGAACAAAGGTGTGCAGAACCTATTCGCACCCCTGCTCAGTTCCCGTGTCTGTGCCCAGCAGTGGGATTGCTGGGCCATAGGGTGATTCTGTTCACTTGCTATGGGATAGCCAGACTGTCTCCAACCAGCAGCACACAGAAGTTCCAATTATTCTCTCGCCAATGCTTATGTGGGGTTTTTTCTTTTTTTTTTTTTTTATAATGACCATCCTTATGGGTGAGAAAAAGTTGCAAGCTTTTAACCAGAAAATATTTCCCAGGTGCTAGAAGGTGGCAAAGCCAGCTTGAACAGACCAGGAAGTCTGGCTGTCAGGCTTCCAAATCCCTGACTTACAAGTATAATAGCTTCAGAGACCATTAGGAAAAAGTAGAGAGAATGGTGCCTAGGAAGAACCAGCTGTGAACAGATGTGGGTGTTTAGAGGTTCAGCAGATTAAGAGCCTGCCCCCTGAGAAGGGGCCTGAGAACCTGCGAGGCCTGGCACACACCCTCAATGCCAACCTCAGGCCGCTCCTCTCTGTACCCTGACCACACCACTGCCAGGCGAGGGGAGTGGTGTCTGCAGCTAGGTGCTGCCAGTTCTCTGCGGCCAGGCTGAGTGCAGGAGTTGGCACCGGGCCCTCTTCTTTACGATCTGAGCCGTCAATGAGCCTGGAGGACTTGGCCTCAGGGAAGCGGCCGGAAGGTAAGCCCACAGAGAGCCACGGGAAAAAGTCAAGGTTTTCCCCCCAATATTTTATTTAAATATTAAATTAAAAAACATACATCCACTAATCATTTGGCATACATTTGTCATGTTAACATAAGAAACAAAATAATTCAGTTATAGTAAAAAAAAAAAAAAACCAAGAAAAAAAACACACCACCAAACCATATACATCTTAAACAGATCACATAGTGCCTTTGAACAGGCTACTGCATTCATTCGGGAACAGCACTGTGAAGAAACCTATAAAACACACGTCACACACACTGAAACAAGACATACACCTGGACTGACAGCAACGAGAAAGAAAACCACGGTGACAGTAAAGTGCTTGTCATTGTTCTGAGGCCTTTGATCTCTGGGTTAGAACAGAACTGATCTTCAAAAGGGAGACTGGTTCTGTGCTGGACTCCACGTGCTGCTGTCTGTGAGGAGGCCAAGGCCCACGACCCCAGGCCCTCTCAGTCCCCAACCTTACCAGCCAGCAGAGGCCTCGGGGAGTTCTCCGTGGCCAGGCGCAAGGACAGGCCTTTGCCCAATCATTGAAGCAGCCACAGAGCAGCAGCAGTGGTGGCAGGAGGACGGTAAGCAGCAAGCTGGGCAGACCCAAGGCCAGCAGGGGCCGTGTCCTCTCTGAGCCACCACCTCCCCCTCCCCTCCAGAAACTCCGGTGATCTTTGGCTTTATAAATGCCGACCTTCCCCTGCCGTCATTACCTGTTAATACTGAGGGTGAGAGCCAAGGGAGCTGAAGGCACCTGGGGGGGAAGGACCAGTGCTGACCAGGCGGAGGGAGCACGCGGCAGAGGGAGCCCGCGCCACCTGAGCCACCACCTGGTCTACCTGCCAGGTAAGGGCAACCTGCCTCCCTCCTCCACACGGATCTGGGTAGCACTTTGTAACATTGCCAGAGGGGAACTGAAACCAGGAACACAAAGGTGTAGTAAAAAATATAAAAAATAAGTAGTGTCTGTCTATTTATACACATATACAGTATCTGCTTAAAAAGGAACAAAGCTTGAACAACAATGACCTGACCTCTCAGTTCATGTTCTTGAACAAAGGCCTAACCGGTCCGGGCCTGGGGAAGGTGGGCCGTGAGTGCAGGCAGTCACCGCTCCTGCCCGTCCCAGCTTCGCTCTATTGCACATCCCCCCGTCGGTTGTTCTTTTTGGACCCTGATAATGAAATGCGTAAAAACGTAATTAGCAGCGGAAATAAGATGTGCGGCAGGAGGTTCCGAGGACTCCTGGAACCGACCACCGGGCAGTTCGTAAAACCCCCGTCCAAACCAGGAAAACGGGATCCTCTGTGTTTTGACCTCGGGGGAGAGAATTCCAAGAATTTGCAGATTATCTTCTCCTGGGCTGGCCATTAGAGCTTTTTAAAAACATGTATAAAGCACAAAGTTCACAGCTTTCATCCGAAGCATAAATGTTTCAGGAAGTGGAGGACTGTCCATTAGAAACAGATGCTGCTCAACCCCGCACGTGCACACATGTGGTGGATGCGCACACACTTGCTCCCACGGCATATGGCTCACGCAGCTTTGTCCACGGCAATGCCCTCCATGACCCGACGCGCCCATGGACGAGGGAGCTGATGGTCCCCTCCTGCTGCCATCTGACCCACAGTGGCGCTGGCCTGCCTGTGAGCGGGGCCAGCCCTGTCCTGTTTTGTCGCTTCCCTCTTTCTCCCTCCTGTCCACCCACCCCCACAACACACCCTCAATTATTATTTTTCTTCAGAAACTTTCCAGTCCCTACTCACAGCAGCAGCTGTTCAGTGCAAGGAGAAAATAAAACAAAAATTAAAAAAGCCAAAACACCAAACGTATTGCTTGTTTTGCTTCTCGGAAGTTATTGGCTTTGAGTCCGGAATCGCCTTCACATACTCTGAGGTTATTGCTTCGAGGAGTCGGCAGCCCATGCGGGAGGAGGGTGGCGTGGTGGCCCTCACTGCACCAGGACAAACGTGCCCAGCTGGCCTGAGGTCAGGTCCTCCATCTCACAGTCCCCCTGCGGCAGCCCCATGGGGTCAAAGCCCGGGGGCAGCATGGCGAAGTGTGGCTGCAGGGGTGCGGCGGCAGGGAGGGGTGCCGTGGCAGTGCTGATGTGCAGGTGGGTGTCCAAGAGGTGGGCCGCCGAGGATACCGGGGAGACCCCGGCCTGGAGGAGGTGCGGTGGCAGCAGCAGGCCAGGCCCCAGCCCCAGCTCCTTCTGGAGTCCCGACACAAGGAGGGCACTGTCACAGGGGGCCAGGACCAGTGGGACTGGGGGCAGCTGGGGAGCCTGCTGGCAACTCGGCGGGGCTGCTGGGTGGTGCTGTAACTGCAGCAACCTGGAGGGACAGGAGAACAGGGAGGGGAACAGGTCACTGCCAGCTCTGAGCGCTGCTCCTCCTGACAAATTCCACCCGGCCAGGCTCAGGCACCACCGGGTTTCCACGCCCGTGGAAGTGCTGGCTGGAACAGCCCAGAACACGAAATGCTGTGCGTGACTAATTCCGTGAGCAATTCCTGACATTTCCACTCTGCCGTGCTTTTACAGCAGCTCAGAGATGCCAACCAGAGGTGACATTCTTATTCATGCCCCCCTCCACCCCCCTCTTACAGGCTTCAAAGTGACAAAACCTGACTGCTCCCCACCTCTGCCACCATTTGCGGGAACAAGGCCCACGGATCTCCCCACACGTGGTGGAGGGAAGGTACACGCATCTGATTACATGGAGAAGGGGGAACTAAGAAACAAGGTGGCTCAAGAAATCCCAATGGACGTGAGTCAGGGGCAACTAGTGCGGAGCAGGCATACCTTTGCTGGTGCAGCACCTCCTCCAGCAGGCTCCTGCCCTCCCGGCTGCTGGCCCCGCTGCCATGCAGGCCCGGGCTCTGAGCGGGCAGCTGGAAGGCGCTCAGGCCTCCCCGAGCGGCCCGGCTGGAAGAAGGCTGGCACACCTGGCGAGCCAGCCCCTTGATCTTGTTCAGGCCCAAAAACCCTTTGGTCCTTGCGTTCTTCCGCAGCTGCTGCCGAAAGGCTTTCAGGCCTGGGGAGAGGCAGAGGAAGATGGTCTATGACCCTCCAGGGAACCAAGGCTGGGATCCCTGACGGAGGGGAGGAGGGAGGAGGAGCGGGCAACATGGAAATGATAGGAAAAAGGACTGGTATGCTTTCCTACAGGGCTGAGGGTGCTCTCTGGTCATCTAAATACTTCCCATGATCCCCCACCCCGCTCCCTGTCCCCCGTGCAGGGTTAGGAAGTCATCTTTTTAAGGTCTGGTTTGGGGCAGCAGTGCCAGTACTGAGTAGGCATGCACCTGGGCAGACTGAGATCCTCTGTGGAAGGGCACGAACAGTGCCACGGAACTAGGGAGGGAGCTCAGGGCCCCCAAGCCCTGGGTGACATGGTGGGAGCCCAGGCAGCCAGGTGTGGAGGGTCCCTCCCTGACTCCACCCCTCTCTAGGGTAGGAGCTGCTGCTTGGCACCCAAGTGTCTCTTGAGCTTCTAAGACCAGCCACTAGAGGCCAGGTGACTTTGTCCCGGGACACCAGGCTGTCCAGAGCCCAGTGGCACCTTCGATTTGCCCAGGGAGCACTGCTGCTCCACCCAGGCCTGGCTAGGGAAGGGGGAACCTCTGCCTTCCAGGACAAAGGGACACCTGCCAGGGCCACCCGGCATCTGGAGGGGAAGGTGGAAAGAGAGTGAAAGGGGAAGTCACCTTGAGTGAGTGAGGTGTCCGAAGCCCTCCGGCCTTCCTGGAAGCTGACGGGGAGCAGGGCAGCTCCGCCCAGGGCCCCCTGCGCCTGCAGCACCGGGGTGGCAGACTGGGCCCCCAGCAGCGGTGAGGCCAGTTTGAGTGGGGAGCAGGTGCCCACCAGCCCCTGAGCAGCCAGGCATCCACTCAGCCCCGCCGGGCTCTCCCCCGCCGAGAAGGTCAGACAGCTGTCGGAGCTGGTGCCTTCTGAAGGGCTCGCCGACGAGGAGATGACTATGCCTGCGGAAGGAGCAGGGTGCTCTTGGTGAGGAGGCACAGGCTCCCCATGGCCAATGCAACCCCCCAGCACCCACGTCACATTCCCCATGCCCACAGCAGTGACTCTCAGGCCCCTGGGTAGCCCTTGAGGCCCACCGACAGAGACAGACAGCTGTACTGTCCTCCCCACATCGATCCTCAACCTTGGGGGGAGTGGGAGACTGTGGCAGCCAGAGGCCAGGGAGCCCTGACGGCCAGCCAGTGCGGAGTCCTGGCTGCAGGTGACATGTGGAGCTGACCGAGGACACAGAAGGGGCAGGAATGAGGACCTGTCCTCCTGGCACCTGGGGGCAGCTAACGCCCCTGTCCCCACCACGGAATGACCTCTTGGAGTGTCTACGAGGGACCCTTGAGGCCTCGGGGGTTAAACCCAGGAACTGCAATCAGAAGGAGCCACCCTGCACAAACCGTGTGCTTTGCAGGAGCTCCTTGTAGTCCCAACCGTAAACCCACCCGCCGGGCTGAGCTCCGCCCACGTGGGCACTCACATGGAGGGATACTTGGGGAGAAGTTGGAGACCTCGGCCAGCGTGTGCCTCCGGACCGTGCTGCCGGGCAGGGGTCTCTGTGCCTCCGGCTCCTCCTTCAGGCCCTGGCCCTGCCTGACCTCCTCACTGATGGTCGTGTCCAGCAGGCTGCTGGGGGAGACCGAGCGGTGCCGGAACACGCCGTTGCAGTTGGTGTCCACGGGGAAGAGCAAGGGCTGTGCGGGAAGGAAATAAACCAGTGACCCTGGGCTCTGGGTGACCTGGCATGGGGTCATCACCACCGCCGGGAACGAGACAAGCCCCCGCCCGACGCCGCCCTCGCACTCACACACCTGGAGCGAGCTGTGCAGGTCACAGTCCATTTCGGCCTGCAGGATAGACTGCCCCAAGGTCTGGGGCTGTGGGCACAGGAGCGAGGACCGGAACGCTTCACCGGGGAGGACTTCCTGAGGCACCTGGGAGCCAGCACAGAAGGATAGAAGCTGTCAGTGGCTCTGGGGTAACCACGATCATCCCAAGAAAGACCATGCTGGCCTCACTCTGGCACCAGCAGGTGTGAGCCACCAGCTGACCAGGCTCAGGACACGTGCACCCACCCTCCGAGGCTGCGCATATGGAAGTGACCAGGGGGAGGCACAAAGAGGTCAGCATCAGGGGCAACTGGCCATAGGCGGGGCCTGATCCTCATCAGAATGACTAGCACCCCCTCTTCTCCATGCATCCTCTGGTCTGGAGTTCACAGGGGAACCCCAGCCCCAACCCAGGGCTTAACGGATGGGGGGACAAAATGAATAGGGGGACTGGGGCTCAGCTGAGCCAGGGATTTCTAACTCAGGGGACACAGGGTGGGGCTTTCGGAGGTTCCCCCCTCACCTCCAAACTGCTGTGATCCAAGCTCCTGGGCCTCTGCTGCCGGGCAGGGCCCGGCCGGGCTGCCGGCGGGGTACTGCGGTACTCCTTCAGCCGCTCCAGGAGGAGGTAATAAATGGCTGCGAAGTGATTGTAGCTGCTGTTCTGCAGTGACTGGGGGAGGCAGAGAGGCAGAGAAGCAGGTTATAGCCAGGCCAGAGAGAGGACTGGAACAGCAGGGTGGCCGCGTGCAGGTGGCATTCGGGACTTCTCCTCGGGTCACTGAGGCTCCCTGACAAGGCTGTTCCCAGGGTTATTCTTGGGTGGCCCAGAATATCCTTCAGAAAAGTGGACAAGCCGGCCCTTAAATTAGCCCGTGTTCCCATTTTAACTCAACTAGCAACTGACTGCTTTTCCCGATAAAGCTGCTCACTTCCCACCCCAAGAGCAGGCAAGGCGGGGGGAGGGATGGCAGGGCTCACCTCCACGGTCCTCTGCCGGTCCACCCCGAGGGTCTGCATGATGCCCAGCACCTGCTCGTCGTAGTCGCCCAGGTTGGAGTTGTAGCTGAGTGTGCTGGAGGGGCGAGTGTGTGGCAGCGTGGGGTCGGCTTGCATCCACCGGTGCTGCCGGATCTGGGCGATGCTGATGCGCTTGGCAGGGTCCACCACCAGCATGCGGCGGATCAGCGTCTCACAGTCTGGGGTCAAGGGAGGCGCACTGAGCTGTGCGGATCGCCTGTGCACACGGTCCCCACCGCCCACCGGGATGCCAGCTCAGCCCTGCAGGGGACGAGCTCCCTTCATGGAAGCAATCAGACATGGGACCATTCTAAAGACCACCAGTGCCAGGAGCACTGACCTGGGCCAGTGGCTCAGACCAGCCACCAAAGAATGCCCCCCACTGAGGGGTGGGTCTCTGAATGGGACACAGTCCTCCTAATGTGCCTACAGAGACCACTTAGCCTCCCCATTCTGCTGTGACCACACAGGCCAGTGGACATCTTTACTGAACGGACGAGGAAAGCACAAGTGTGAGCAGGTGAGACTCGGGGGGCACTTGGCGGGGACTCCAGAGACCGAGCCTTCAGCCAGCTCCAGGAGGCACCCTCAGAGGAAGGCACCTGTCCGCCCGTAAGTAGGGCTCAAAACACACCCCATGGGTTGGGTTTCTTTTGCAGGTAAACACCCTACAGGAACACCGGCCTGACTCAGACCCAGAAGACAGTCAAGCAGGCATTTCAGGAAGTAAATTCCTCCACCTACTCCTCCTCCTAAGCTCCCATTCCAGGTTCCCATCAGCACCTGCCCGCCTGCCCGGGAGAAGGCTCGGCGCACACCTACCTCGAGACATGAAGAAGGGGATCCGGAACCGGCCCTCGAGCACCCGCTGCCGCAGGGCCGGCAGGCTGGGCCCATCGAAAGGGAGCGACCCGCAGACGAGCACGTACAGCACCACGCCAAGGCTCTGCAGACAACCAGACAGCGCGGTCAGGCCTGCCGCCTTACCACACCTCCCAGTGCTGGCCCCTAACGCTGGCAGCGCACAGGGCTCCTACCCAGATGTCGAGCTGGGGGCCTTCGTACTCCTTCCCCTCAAAGACTTCTGGCGCCGCGTAGGGGGGGCTCCCACACCAGGTAGACAGAGGCTCTCCTGACTTGTAGAAGTTTCCAAATCCAAAGTCTGAAAGACAAAGAAACAGATGAAGTTGTGGTGGAAACAGTAGGGGCCTCAGTTTCAAAGTTTACGAGCAAAGAGCACCAGGACCCTGGCTTGCACATACCCCCCCTCCCTCAAGGCAGCGCTTCCCGGGTGTGGGGCGAGGGGGCGCCCTCCTCACCTGCCAGCTTGATGTCCATGTTGCCGTCCAGCAGCAGATTCTCGGTCTTGAGGTCCCGGTGCACGATGTGGTGGCTGTGGCAGTACTCCACGGCCGACAGAATCTGCCAGAACTTCTTCCGCGCTTCATCCTCGCTCAGGTGCCCATTGGAAGTCAAATAATCTGAGGAGCGACAGAACAAAATGATAGCTCCCAAACCCACAGCGAATGCTGAGGAATGTTAAGGTGGACGGCCCCCAACCTTAGAGGAGCAATTCCTGACAAGAGAGCACTATTTGTTTTTCAACAGGTATTAAAAGTAAGTGGCTTACCAAACATCTCTCCATTCTTTGCAAATTCGGTGACAATGTAAAGCATATCCTTTGTTTCCATTACCTAAAAAATAAAGACCTAAACATTAAACCACACGAAGAGAGAACATACTGAAGGTATCAGTAAACCACCTGAACTCGGGGAATTCACTTCTCCAGATGAATGCACTTATTATTTTTGGAAAGAAAACATACAAACAAACCAACAAAAAACTTCTGCAATAAAGAAACAAACAAGGGATTCCTATTCAGGAGTGTTTTTTCAAAGTCAGAGGTGAATTCCTCACGGGCCTGCCTGTCCGGATATATCTTGGCTCAGAAAAGGTCTAAGTGTATTCGAATGCTCCTGCACCGTAGTTTTAACTCACTTTGTCTCACCCGCCAGAGGATTCTGGCAGCTACAGAAGTGAAAGAAGCGATTCGAGAGTTCTGCTCGAGCTTTCTTCCAGAAGCCTAGCAGGCAGCAGGTTATTCACACCAACAGCCAGCACGGCTGAATAATAGATGGCAAACACCCCTTCCCCAATGCGCTGGTAACATGATTAAGTAGGCCACAAAAAGCCGGTCTGCCAGGTACGCCACCACAGTCCGCTCTGTGTACAGACAACTGCTCAGCATGTGTCAGCAGCAACAGCCAGTGGAGGGCACACCTTACAGGGCCCCTTCCTGAGCGAGAATTCTCTTTCACTTTGAAAAATTGTCTTAAAAGAATTTAAAACATAATTAAGAAACAAGATAAAATTCAAATATTTATCCTGAAAGTAAAATGAACTCCTATCCAGGCATTTTAAAAGGGAGATAGAGAGATAATCCATTATTACAGAAAAAGATTTCTTCAGGGCTCAAAACATAGCTATTCCTTAAAAAAAAAAAAAAAAAAAAAAAAAAAGAATACTTTAAACACCACTGCTTTGTGCTGTAAATCCAAAAAGCAAAGCAAACACCAGGCGGTTTAGCTAGAATTTTCATAGCCCTTGCCCTGGATGTGTGTAACAAGTTCATTCCTTTTCTGGGGGGGGGGGGGGGGGGGAGACGGAGAAAGGATGAAGAGTGGATGTGTTTTAAGTTTAAAAAAAACAACAACAAAAAAACCTCAAGGAAAGAGTCTAGTGTCTCCCCAAGGCTCTGGGCCTGCGCCAGCTGGATGAAAATCAGACACCATGTCAAAGCCAGAGTAAGTACCATCCGGCTGTCCCCACAGTCAGAGCAGCCACAGAGCAGTAAGAAAGCCCACGCCAGGAAAGTCCTCGCTTGGATCGGGTGGCCACATGGGGGCCATCGGGCCAGGAGGACAAGGAAGTCACACTCTGGCTCATCCCTCCACTCGGTCAGAAGCAGACCGGGGTCGGCCCACTCGCGGAAACAGGCTGGGCACATTTCTCAGGCGCTGACATCAGTGACCCAGGAGGAAACGGCTCACCCAGGCGGCAACTTACAAACGACAACAGAAACAAAACACAAGCCGGGGAGCAGGTGACACAGCAGAGAGCAGGTGACAGGTGATGTGAGTGCCGCACTTAGCGACGGTGAGTAAACTGTCATCTGAAACACAACCCCGATGACAACGTCCACCTTCATTTTAACCGAGCCAAGAGCCTTCCGAGGGGTAACTTCCAATTAAGTCCCGTCTCCTGCCCACAGTACTCTGAGCCCTGCCAGCCACACAAACACTCCCACCATCCCGTATTCGTCCCAGTCTCCTGGGGTTTGTGGGAGTCATGGAAAGGAACTTACAGCCAACACAACTGGACAAAGTAGCGAGCATTTGCAAAGAATTTATTCTCTAGCCCGAGACCACTTCATCGTCACAGAAGTGGCCGCTAAGTAAGAGACTGCTTTGCTGTCCTAATTAGACCAGCACTTGTTTTCCAGAGATATACTTTATTCGTCTCGACAGGAGAACAAAAATAAAGTCACAAAACAAACCAACCAATGGACAGAGTCAAGCCTGTTCTTAGCGTGGACTAACTAGCAAGCTCTCGCTCTCTGCTTGGATGGGAGTATACGTGGGGAAGACAGGAGCTCAGCACTGCCTTTGCAAAGGTGAGTTTACAGAAACTGGTAAAAGTTTAATAATTATCTGCACAGGCAGGAGTTTCTAGTTTCTCTGGAATTTGTCCTTCTACACTAAATCCTTGACTTGTGTCCATACATAGATCCGGTTGTGTGAGCCTTGTAGTAAAGGCAATAATATCGCACCTCCATGCGCTTAAAGCTGGGACAAACCACAACAACAAATAAGATCCTCACGAAGCAAATCTCAATTATGACCCCAAAGCAAGAAGATAACTGCAAGTAAATCTTCAACACTTACAGAAATCCACCTATTTACCTTATACCACCAACCCCCGACCCCCACATACACTCAGAGAGAGGGGGGCAGTCTCCAGACCTAGGTTGTTGGACATAAAAATGAACGCGCTTGCTGGAAGGCAGAGAAAGGCAAATGGGATCCTTACCTGATAAAGCTTTATGATATGGGGATGATTCAGAAGCTTCATGATCTGAACCTCACGGTATATTTTCTCCAAATTGCTTGAGTCTAGGCGTGTTTTATCGATTATTTTTATTGCTACCTATGGATTTTTAAAAAAGAATAAAGGGTATTTTTTAATTAAAAAAAACACACAATCTCTCACTTAACCAAATTTAAACATTTCATTTTTTGCAGGTTAACTTCTAAAACACTTTGTCCCCAAGAGGTCACAAAAAGTTGGGGTGTGGGGGGAGGCGGGGGAGGGGAATAACCAAAGTAATCCTTAATATGACAAAATAGCCGAAGTTGAATAATTGTACTAAGTCTTTGCGGGCTCACTTGGAAGGGCGTTAGTTAGCTCTGGATGGGAGAGCACTGCACCCCTGGTTATTAAATCCTTATCCTCTTTGCTGCCCCCTAACATTCGTACCAATTATGCAATCATAATATCAAACATGTTCCTTCTTTACCAAACTAAAAACTGTCGGCGTCTAGACCTTACAGGATGGACCCTACAAGGCAGGGGGTCCCACCCGGCTGGCTGCCCCGAGGCAGGGCCCGCCCCAGGCAGGGTCCACCTCAGGTAGGGTCCACCCACCCAGGGAGGGTGCACCCCAGGCAGGGTCCCCCCCCAGGCAGGGTGCACCAGGCAAGGTCCGCCCCGGGTCGGTCCCGAGCCCCACGCACCTGGGTCTTGGTGACGCGGTGCCGCGCCAGCTTCACCACCGCGAAGTTGCCTTTGCCCAGGGTCCGCTCGATGTCGTAGAAGCCCACCCGCAGGGGCTTCTGCGGACCCTGGCTCCCGCCCGCTGGGGCCGCGCTGAACTCCGACATGATCACCATGGCTCCGGGCACCTGCGGGCGCAGGGAGCTCAGCGCCCGCCGGACCCCGCGCCCGCCCGCCCGCCCCGCCGTCCGCGCTCCGCTCCGCTCCTCCGGCGCCCCGGAGCCCGGAGCCCGGAGCCCGAGGGGCGCGCGGACCCGCTCCCACCCGCCGGAGATCGGCTCCATCGCGGCCCCCGGAGCGCCCCGTCCCGCCGGGCGAGGACCCGCTCCCCGCGGCCAGTGCCGTTCCAGCCCCCGAGCCACCTCAGCCCCGCGGGGCGCGTGGACCGAACCAGCCCCTCGCGCCCCGGACCGTGTTCCCCGCCGCCCGCCGCCGTTCCAGCCGGAACTCCGGAGCCCTTCCCGCCGAGGGGTCCGCGGACCCGCGCCCGCCGCCCCACAACAAAGGGGGAACGGCGGCCGCGGGACCAGCGGCGTCCGGCCCGCACCCGCGGGGCCGCCGGAGACAGAGCCCGGAGCCCGGCCGCCCGCCCCGCGCGCCACGGCGCCGCCCGGCCGGCGCCTCACCTCCGCCGCTCCCGGGGCCCCGAGGCTCGGACGCCGCTCGCGCGGGCCCCGCCGACCGCTCGGCCGCTCGTGTGGCTCAGGCGCCTGCCGCTCGGATCGCCGCCGCTACCGCCGCTGCCGCCTGTGCCTCCGGCCGGGCTGCGCCGCATGTCAGCTCTGAGGCCGCGCCGCGCACCCGGCCGCACGCCCCGCCCCCGGCCCCGCCCCCGGCCGCCCGGCCCGCCCCGCCCCCGGCCCGCCCCCGGCCGCCCCGCCCCTCCGCGCGCGGGATGGATGCAGCCCCATTGACGTCGCTTTGACGCCGGAACGACGCGTGGCTCCGCGCCAGGCGGAGGGAGAGCGGGAGATCGGGCCGTTGCCAAGAGACAGGCGGCTCTGACGCGCGCGCTGATGAGGCCGTCGCCCTGGCGACCGAGGGGCGGTGACGTCAGGGGCGTCGGGCGCCTGAGGCCCGCGGAGGTCCGCCCGCGCTCGCGTTCCAGCCGGCGCGCGCCCCCTACCGGGCTCTGTGGGCGCTGCGAGCGGCTTAACCCTTATGCCCCCGCATTTGCTCGTGCCTCCTCTTCTCTCTCTTTTTAAAAAATATATTTTATTGATTCTTCAGAGAAGAAGAGAGAGGGATAGAGAGTTAGAAACATCGATGAGAGAGAATCATCCATCAGCTGCCTCTTGCACATACCCCCACTGGGGATGTGCCCACAACCAAGGTACATGCCCTTGACTGGAATCGAACCTAGGACCTTTCAGTCCGCAAGCCAAGGCTCTATCCACTGAGCCAAACCGGTTTCAGCACGCCTCCTCTTCTCACACCCACACCCCCGAAAGGCTTGGAACTAGCGCTGTTCCAAAACCCCCGAAGTGCAGCGCAGCTGGGCCCTCTTGGGACTCCTACTCCAGAGTCCCAGTTATCGGAGTTCGGGTCCCCGGTGCCCCCCAATTTCCGTCGGAGGTGCTAGGCCTTGGAGCCTCTATTAGAGAAAGTAACCAGGTGAGACTAAGGAAACCTCCAAGAACGAGGCCACAGGCAGTGCCAGATGACAGCACGCCGGCTTCCACCGAGGGAGCCCACCCAGATCCCCTGGCACCGCCAGGGACCCTCTGGAGCATGGCAGCAACATATTCCAGAACCGTGGGGCCACCCAACTTCGACTTCTCTTGTTTTGTGCGAATCTTAATTGTTCAGGAGTTATAAACAAGTGCAAGAAATCTGGTCAGCATCTCTGTCAAGCGACCACCAGCACCAGGGTTGGTGCCCTAAGCAGCGGCTGGTGCTGCAGCCCCCAGCGCTCGGGAGTGGGTCCTGGCCCCACCCTAGGCGAGCCCTGCCCCTTTCCCCATCAGATACGCTGTCAGAAGCCAGCTGATTGCCGAGGGTCCTTTCTGAAGGAACTCGGCAGGTTGGAGAGAGGAAGAGAGGCCCAGTGGGCTGGTTTCCAGGGGGCCACGTGGAAGTGGACTCTGCTCACCGAGGTCTTCGGGTTCCCACGTCCTTGGGACCAGAGTCAGCAACACCCTCAGCGCAGCACATGGTGGCCCATTTGTGTGTGTGTGTTCATCGGACAAGTGTCCACAGAAGACCGGCTGTGTGATCTGTACTCAGACAGGGAGAGGACCCTGCCCTTGGTGGAGCAACCCCTCTGGGGAGGGCCAGTGGGTGCAGTCAGCAGGGAGGGAGGACTTCACCCCTTGGCAGACTGGACGCTTGGCGGGTTCCAGGGCATTTTGCCTGCTCTCTGGGCCACCTCCCTGTTTCCCCAGAGCTGCAGGGGAGCTGGGGGGGGGGGCAGGACCTGTGCCCCTTAGGACGGAGGTGCCTGGTGGCCTGATCCCACTGGAAGGGAGAGGATGAAAGTGGCAGCAGAGGACAATGTACATGGACATCGCTGCCCACGTTGTGTTCTTTGTGGCTCATTGCAAAATAAATGTTTCCTAAGGAAAGCCAGAAGGCGTTGTTTAAGTATCAGGAAGGCAGAAGTGTAGGATATCAACTCTGCATGGAACCCAGAATGATTTTTCCTGGCGTTCAGTAAGAATGCCGCTTCGCAGGAGGGGGTGGGGCGAGAGTTAAGTGAAATGGATACAGAGCCGGGGAGCCTGGCAGAGGGGAGGCTGTGGCGTGCGTGCGTGTGCAGCTGCCTGAGGCGGGCCCGCCTGCCAGGGCACCGAAGGGACGGGACGTGCTTCGCCGGGTGCCCAGCCGCCGGCCTGACCAAACATTTCCCAATCGCGCCCTCCCTGGGAGGAGGTTTGTGGGTCAGCGCGTTTGAAAAGGCCTTTGAAGGGCACTAGTACCAAGTCTTTCTCGTCCTTCAAAAATGCCCCTGTGTTACCTGTCCCCGGTTTACCCAGTGAGAACTGGGAGGAATATTTCTACTTCCTTCCAGCTGAAGAGTGTACCAGCGCTTTCTCCCCTTCCGGGAGCCCGCCAGCCTGTCCCAGGGAGAACAGGAAGAAGGACGCCGAAACCAGGGACCTGGATACTCTCACCTGCTGCCTCTCCTTTTGTGACTTCACAACTTCCTTTCCGCTCCTTATCCCCTCCCACCCGCCCGCCCCAGGCCTGTCCCGACTCCTTTCGAAAGGTCTTAGGTGTTTGCAAACACCTGGCTGGCTGTTTGGAAACATTCTGTCACGGATGAATGAAAACTGCAGCCAAAGGGCTGAAGCTGACTTCCCAGAAAGAGTCCCTGGACCCAGGTGCACTTGGCCCCTGCTGCCCGCCCTTCCGGATCAGCCCTGTGTGGGCGGTGGCCCCAAACCCTGGGTGGGAGCTGCTCTTGGACAATGCAGGCAGGGCAGAGGCCAACGGTGTCACCTCTCCCAGGGGGGAGGGCTCCTGCTGGCAACACCCTGAATTTGCCACTAAGGGGTCTCTGCTCCAGTGGGGGAGGCCCAGTGGGGAGAGGTCCTAGCGGCTTCTAGATGGATCCCAGCAGCCTCAAGTGGAACAAGATGAGCTGCTCCCTCAGCAGAATATTTCCCTGTACACTGGGATTAGCACTCTGTTTTCCCAAGTAGAAAAGTGGGTAGAAAATGTTCCGTAGAAAAGACAGAAATATATAAAGATGAGAACAAAAAGCACTGATGATGCTGCCGAT